TAGAATAGAGTTAGTACTCTCTCACAGTTTCCTTGTCTGATTATGTTTAGATTGTCAAGGTACTTAGTCCCTCATTTTTCCTTTCAGGGTTCCAGTTGATGTTAATTTTAAACCAGTTTCAGCCATAGGGAGATATTTGCAGATAAGAGACCTAGTATTTATTTGCCCAACCCTTTGCTCTTCTGTAAATATGATTCTGATTTTGGGCTCAGACATTGGTCTCTTTGGAATTATTGCTTCACCATCTCCACCTTGATGCCCCACCCCCGTACCCTGTTTCTGTGCATAGCCAGCTGTATAGAAGCTGTATGGACCCACTTCCTCTTTGTTCCCACCAGTTCATCCTCCTCCCTTCTCCTTCTCTACCAGCTACATTTGGCATTTTTACCTTTCTTTCAGTGAAGGGAGAGCCACTGTGAAGGAGATTTCAATGATTGTGGAAAGGAGAGGATATATGATGACTTCTGGAAGGAAAGAGTAAAACCTGGAAGAACTGACCTCTCTAAGACATTGGGTCACAGCAGTATGCCTTTTACCCTCTAAGAGTGAAGCACAAGGAAGGAGCATTTTCAATACTCTAGAGACCACTGCAGAGTTTGGGTACCCTGACAACCCTAGTATTTAAGTATCTGTGGCAAGTGTGAGCTCTTGGGCCCATGAGGAATGCCCGCTAGGATTCCCAGATTTGTTGATGGACACATTCCAAATAAGGCCCCATGTGAACTGGTGGGACAGAGACCCAGTGTGATTTGGTGGTTATTGATCTAACTTCACTGGTAGTCATAGGCTGGAAAGCCTTGGAAAAATGGTTAGCATTAGTCTGTCTTATGAAAGCTTTTTCAAAGATGCTCTATCAGCATGTTTGCTTTATATTACAGTGGAATTCTTTAGTTTGCAACAGATTTCAGTAGGGACAGGGTTTGCTGATAAATCTAAAGCATGCGTGTTAAGAAAGCACACCTGAGTGCTCCTGTTAGCGTAAAGGGGGGGTGTCAATTAAAAATGATCATCTTAACTCACAGTATTTTTGGAGTTTTTATTCAGAGAGTCACATATACAAGACCATCACGTTCCATATTGTGGAAATCATCAACTTGAAATGACTTTCATGTTACTTTCCTAACCTACATTTTGCAGCACTTTCTCTCTGGTTTTCTCAGAGCCAAAGAAATATTTCCCATGATGTGAGCTGAGATTATTTTCCCCTGCTAGTGGTTAGATTTTGGCAGTGGTAGATAGTAAAAGTGGAAGGAGACACTTGGAAATTCTTTGGGTAATGTGTTGGATGTTTTTAAATAAATAAATAAAGGCAGCAGTAGAGAAAAAGCATGTGTTGCTGGGGATTGTTTTGCTTTCCCAGAAAATGAAGCAGACCCAAATCAAAGAACAGTTTTCTAAGCCTTTTGAGTATCTTCCAATGGGTATTTAAAAGACCAAATTTCATGTGAACCACAATGTTGGGAGCCAGAGGGTAAACAGAAGTATGCAGCCACGAGGAGGCTGGTTACACGCACTTGAATAAGGAAGTCATTTGGTTGAGGACAGACCTGGCCAGGAGAATTAGTGTGAAGACTTTGCAATGAAAGCCATATTTTATTAGTCTTTAGAGGATGTGGAGAAAAAAGATACAAGGAGACGAACCATGTGCTCTTGCCTTTGCTGCCAGTTCTTTTTTAAAGGTTCTGAAATGGTTTATTTTTATTAGTTGCAGTTATTAGCATCTCTAAAAGACTCAGCAACACTTAAAATATCCATGTAATTTGTGTCAAATAACATTTTAAGTAAACTTACTGATGTAGAATATGCATATTAAAAAGTATGCAAGTCTTAAATGCATAGCTTGATCAATGTTCATAAACTGAACATATGCCTGTGTAACTACTACCCAGATCGAGAAACAGAACCTTACAAACATCACAAAAGCCAAGCTCCTTTCTCATGACTGCTACCCTGCACCCTAAGGGTAGCAATTCTCTTGGCTTCAACATCATAAATGAGATTTACCTGATTTTAAGCTTTATATATAGAATGTACTCTTGTGTTGGGCATTTTTCATTCAGCATTCTATTTATGAGGTTCATCCCTGTCATGGCACATGGTTGTGATTTGCTCATTCACGTTACTGTGTTGTGTGACTACCACAGTTTATTTATCCACTCCTCTGTTGGTGGATATTTAAGTCATTTCCAGTATTTGATTATAATGAATATTATCACTTTGAATATTCTTATACATGTCTTTTGGTTAATATGTCTACATTTTCTGTTGGAAGAGAAATTGCTGGATCATAGAGTAGGCATATGTTCAAGCTTAGTTAATTACCGCTTTATGCATCCCCCAGGAGTATCTGAAAGTTCCAGTTGCTCTGTATCTTTGTCCATACTTGTTTTTGCTTTCATTTGAGCCATGTTTGTGTGTATCTGGTAGTATCTTATGTAGATTTCCCTGGTGACTAGAGAAGGGAAAGGTCCTTTTCATTTATATATTGACCATTGGTGTTTACTGATTTGTGGAATGCCTGTTAAGTCTTTATCCACTTTTAGATTCTCTGCCTTTTTTGTATTGATTTATAGGCATTATTTATATATTCTACATAAAAGTTCCTGGTTGGGTATGTGTATTGCAAATATTTTCTCCTACTCTGTGAGTTACCTTTCTGTTCTCTAATGATGTCTTTTGAGATGCGGAAGTTCTTAGTTTTAATATAGTCTAATATTTTTCAAATTTTTCTTTTATGATTAATACTTTTAGTGTCCTGTTTAAGAAATCTATGTATTCCAAAGTCATGGAGATATTCTGTGTTACTCTTCTATAAGCTTTTTTGGGTTTTACTTATCATATTTAGATCTGCAGTCCATCTGACATTGGTTTTTGTAACAGATGTAAGGTGGGAGTCAATGTCAATTATTTTTTTCAGTCGGATATCTGGTTGACTTAAATCCATTATCTATCACATCCCCACTGTACTGCAGTGTTGCCATTGCCATATATCAGTTTGTATAGTTTACATCTTCAATAATGGGAGCTCCTTAATTCAAAAGTCATAGTAGCTTGTGTCTAACTTTTCCTGTTAATAATTATAATTTTTTTATTTTAAAAGATTGCTTATAATCTCAATACTGGCATTCCTACAGTTTGCATTTTAGTTATTATTCTATGTTTCTTTATATAATCCTATTTACATTGAATTATATATTCTTTATTTCTAATTAGTCTTCAAAATTCAGTTTATTAGTGGCTGCATAGTATTTTGACTGGTGTATCATACTTAATTAGCTGGCTCACATTGTTAGTCATTTAGAATATTCCTATTTAGTTATGAAAAATCCCTACCTTGTAGAAATTTCTTTAGTCTGTTGCTTTATAAGAGGGTAAGAAATAAGAATGGCTGTATTAATTTGGGGCTCCCATATTTAGTTATTTTCACCTATTTTAACTGCATCTTCAGTAATGCAGCCCTTTCATACAGATCTCTTTGTTCTTTATAAAGGGCTTTGGTTGCTTTACAATACTGTGGGGGGGTTTTTGTTTGTTTTTTTGTTTTGTCTTGTTTTTTGTTTGTTTGTTTGTTTTGAGATGTAGTCTGTCTCTGTTGCCCAGGCTGGTCTTGAACCTCCTGGTTCAAGCAGCTCTTCCGCCTCGGCCTCCTGATTAGCTGGGATTACAGGTCCCCACCACCACACACAGCTAATTTTTGTATTTTTAGCAGAGATGGGGTTTCACCATGTTGGCCAGGATGGTATTTAACTCCTGACTTCCAAAGTGCTGGGATTACAGGCATGAGCCACTGCGCCAGGCCAATACTGTGCTTTTGCAATATAAAATTAAAACCTATAACTACTGTAGTATAAAACCCCATTCATATTGAAAATGACATTAATACTAAAAATTCAACCTTGATCTACTAAGTGAGAAAGAAAATGTGAAGGTTGTTTTAAAGTTTATTTTCAGTCCACAGTAACAGAACTGCTTTGAAAGTTGCTGCTTCTCACCGGGAAGTAATGTGTGCACTGGAAAAGATATTGGCTTGAATCAAAATCATCTGTATTTGCTTAAAAATTAGTTAACATTCTAATATTATTACTTTTGCCTTTTAGGAATTAAATTTCTTCAAGTAAGCTGTATCTGTGTCATAGTCAGTACCTGTGCCACATCAAGATGCAGACATATGGCAACAGTCTCAAAAATCCCAAACTTCAAGGCTCAGGGATTGGAATAAATACTCAGTAATGATATGACTGCATTGTAAGAATGCTTCAGGAGCACTTACAATAAGAAAATGTGGGAAAATAGAATGTGGGATCTCTGTCTTCATCTCTGTCTTCCCCGTGGTGTACCGCATGAGTTTATAAATATAAGTGGTTATTAGATACTTAGTGAAATAAATCTAAACAGCACAGAAAATACGTGAAATATTTTTTCAGCAACTGTTTAGAGCCTGCCCTCAAAGAAATCACAGTGTACTAGACTGTAAGATTCTACAGGACTCTCTAAATTCCATAATTCCTGAATTGAGTTTGTAGAAAACATTAACCTTTGGAAAAGTTATTACAAATGGTAAAGGACACAGGGATGGCATCAGATGATGCAGGCCCACATCTAATTCCTGGGTGGCCTGTGAGCAGATCTGGAGATTAGGGTTTGTCAGTGGGACTAAGGTTCAACAAAGCCTTCTTGAACTGAAGGCTGAGACTCCCCACTCTCAGGACCTTGATTAACCTCAAGAAACATTCCAGCTCCCCATCAGATAGGAATCCAAGACTCCCTCTGTGGACACCAGGCACCATGAAATCCAAGTCTGGCAATCCAGAGGTGAGACCACAGTTTCAGTTTCTAGTGTCTAAATTGATTAATGCAAATGTAATCCATTTACAGTATAATCTCAGGTTCATTGCCCTGTGGTAATTCAAACAATGTGAGCATTCAAGGCACAGAAGTAACAAAAAGGCTATTTTTTTTTTTAACTTCTGGTTATTTTTAAACATTTTTTATCATCATAGATACTTACTTGGTAGGGGAGATAACAAGATCACAAAGGTGGTTTCCCAGGGCGAGGCTAATTCATTACACTCCAGGTGTGCTGACCCCTCCAATTTCCCCAAATGTGGGAAACTCAACTGCATAATTTGTGGATAGTGAGGAACTGTGTTCATGCTCTCCCTGATGTAAATGCATTTTTTTTTGAAAGAAAAAGATTGTTTTTATCATCATAAAAATAGTATATTTGGTAAGACCATTTGTTTAAATATAGAAAAAATAAAATGAAAATGTTCTTTACTGTCCAGATGTAGCCACTATTGACATTTTGGAATACATCCTCCAGCTCTTTTTTTTCTATGCATATATATACTTTTTCTTAGATATTTTATGTATGCATTTAAAGTTTTAATTTTACACACATTTTAAAAGAGGAAAGATATACTTTTTTACAAATACAAGTTAATTAGAGAATATTTGCAAATTACAGAAATAATGAAAATGATAACACCAGGATCTGAATGTAACAATCACTAACTTTTAAAATTTTGAAGTATTTTGGACAACAAATAATATAATGAACATTCATGTACCTGCCATCCAGACTCAACTAATTTTAATGTTTTTCCATAATTGTACAGCTTTCTTTATACCTAGTGAAATGCTAGCTATCTAAGTCACTTTATATCCTTTCCTTATCCCTTCAGGAACTCCCATTTTCCCAGCAGAACAACTTCTTTAAACTTGCTGTGTAATTTTCTCTTTCAGTGCTTTAAAACTTATTTGCAATTTCAGTAGGTGTCTGCCTGCAATATATATGTATATTTTAATTTTTAAACTTTGCATAATAGTATCATATTGTTCATGACCTTGTATAACATGCCCTTATTGTGTCGTTTTATGTTTTCCAAATGTTTTTCTTATGTTGATTCCATTGTATGAATTTATTGTAATTTATTTTTTCAATCTTTTGTTGGTAGATATTGAAGAGTGCTTTCAAATTTTTGCTATGACAAACATGTTACAATGAATACCTTTGAACATTTTTTTCTTGTGCACATAGATGAGTTTTTCTAGGGCGAAACTTCTTAATCCTGTCAAACCTAACCTCACCTTCTTTCATAACAAATATTGTGACATTACTTTTACTACCCAGAAATGAAATTCAAAGAAAAAATAATCTGCCTGCCTATATAATTTCAAAAATATCAGTATAATACTTTAATAAAAGGGAAGTGATTTACAATAAAATACAATGCATTTTAGTGTATAAATTCCAGTTTGACTGCATGAGTTAAGTCAGATATTTGTAGTCACCCTGTTTCTATGGCAGTCACAGATGTAGCTTGATACAGATGTATGGTATTGATGACTCATATGCCATGAGTGACTGCCGGTAAAATGGTGAACAGCTCATTTTCAGAACAAGTTGATTCTTCCTTTGATTTATGTGATAATTCCATTTCTGAAAATTTGGTGTGTATTAAACTACAAAAAACTCTTTGTTATTAAAATGGAATTAAATTTAAACCCAGATTATTATAAACAGGGTTGTCCACAGAACGTTGAAAAGCTATACAAAGAGGGTAATTCTTTGTATGGGAGGACATTTTCACCCATGCAAAGCACTGGCTGCTGCTCACTAACAGCCAGTAGTAGGCCCCAATCGGAAACGCCCCACCAGTCCCTCACTAAATCACCTGGAGAGGGGCTGTATGGCTGTGGGTGGTGTGCTGTTGGTACACAGTTGTGCCTGTTCTCAACACTGCTCTGGGATGTACCACTAGAAATCACATTGGTGAGTTGCACAGTCTAGTCATACTTGAGTGAACACTGCAGCTGCTTCTTTCACATAGTTGTAACAGTTTTTGTTCAGGACCTGCAGTGCACAAGACCTGCTTTTTCTGCACATGCTTGCCAGCACATGGTTTCTTCAGACTTTTACCAGTTGTATTGGTGTGAAATAGTATGTTGTTTTAATTTCCATTTACCTTATTATCAATGAGATTCTTTTTTTTTTCATGTTTTTTGACTGAGGCTTTCTTTTAATGTCTTTTCTTGGAACTGTTTATATTTTTTGCCTAAATTCCTATTAGATTGCCTTTTTTCATTGATTTGTACTAGTTCTTTATATATAATTACAATTTTTTGTCTCCTTTAGACATTGAAAGCATCTCTTATTTTGTAGCTTTTATCTTTGTGGGTGTGTGTGTGTGTATAAAAATTTCAACTTTTATTTTAGATACAGGAGGTACCTGTGCAGATTTGTTACATGGGAGTATTGCGTGATGCTGAGGTTTGGAGTATCGATTCCATCACTCTGGTAGTGAGCATAGTACCTGATAGTTTTTTGACCAACCTCCAGTCCACAGTGTCTGTTGTCCCCATATTTATGTATGGTATCTTTTGTTTTGAAGTTTTTAAAATAACATAGTGAGTCTTAACACATCTTCAGCATTATGGTATCATATGATTTTTGTTTTGAAGTTTAATGTTTTCAAATTTAGGTCTTTGATCTATATGGAATTTCTTTTTCTAGATGGTGTATGATACAGATGCAATTCTATTATTTTTTTCATTTCATTGGCTAATTATTTCAATGGTGTTTACCAAATAGGCCTACCTTGTCTGCCACTGTTGCCCCTTTGTCATTTGCACATCCCCACACGTGTTGGTCTTTTTCTGGGCTCTTACTTTTTTTCCGTTGATCTGTTGTCTAACAGACCCCACCATCACTACACTGCCTACTAATTTTTATCCCCTGAAGTTGTGCTACCTGCTCAAGAAGAGAGTTATGAACTGACCCTTAATATTTTTCTTTAATCTGATCCATGACTAGCAGAAATAGCTCGCGGCTCAAGGTACCCTTCTCTAGTTTCACCTACTCATTCAGGTTTTCCTTTGCTGTTTCATTGATCATTTCAATCAGGACTGTTTGTAAAGCTGTGCTGAAGTTGCCATTTCATCGAGAACTGACTCTGTTTCCTGATTTTAATTGGAAGTATTTAGGGTTTAAAGGTAGAAGGAATTCATTATGATTTCCTGGTTATGTAAAGCCATGTCTCTTCTTCTCCCTTTCTTCTTGTCTTAAAACAAATTTCCAGCATTGTTTTCAACTATACCAAGCATTTATGCTTCCGACTTGCTGACACTTGTGTTTCCCTTCTTTATTTAAATCATTTGAATTGGAATGCAGCACATGTTAAAGGGGTATCACTCCAGACCATGTGTTAGTATATAAAATATAAATTTAGGTAAGTGGGACAGGATACAAAACTCATAACTGGATCTGATTCTGAATATGAATTTATGCCTCATAAAGAAGTTATTACAGCTTTCCTTATAGTTAACAATATAAACAAAAAATTAAATATGCAGTTTATATCATCTACCAAAAGAACTCTTAAATTTGATTAACAAATATTAATAAAACCACTGCTACTGTGACTGTTAAAACCACCACCACCGGGTGCGGTGGCTCACGCCTGTAATCCCAGCACTTTGGGAGGCTGAGGAGGGTGGATCACGAGGTCGAGAGATCGAGACCATCCTGGTCAACATGGTGAAACCCCATCTCTACTAAAAATACAAAAAATTAGCTGGGCATGGTGGCACATGCCTGTAATCCCAGCTACTTGGGAGGCTGAGGCAGGAGAATTGCCTGAACCCAGGAGGTGGAGGTTGCGGTGAGCCAAGATCGCGCCATTGCACTCCAGCCTGGGCAACAAGAGCGAAACTCCGTCTCAAAAAAAAAAAAAAAAAAAAAAAACCACCACTGCTACTACTTCCATTAATTGCATAAGGTTAGAACTTTTAACATTCAGATTCCTTGGATTGCAAATTGAACATGTTGACTAACGAAAATGAAATGAATGGGATGGAAAAGTCTTTTCACTTGTGCTTTATGCTCCACCCTGCAGCTGTCAATAATGACCCTGGTTTCTCACTTGGACATCCAGTGGTGCCATTTCCACACCTCATCACTCCTTCCCTAACCACGTCCTCTGTGTGGTTGTTTCCATATTCCTGAATGCCACTTTCTCCAGGAGGGCCATAACCTTTTCAGTTTCAGTCTTCACATGAACAAAAGTATACTTTTCCTGTTATAAGCTGTGTCACATTGTGTTGTAATTACGTGTTTATTTGCCTTTGTCCCTCGCCAGATTTTAGACTCTGTGAAGACAGCACCTGTGCTCATGTTCGCTCATTCGTTGAGGAATCTGTGAAGTGCCTCTTTTGGTCCTTGCCCTTAAAACTGAACTCATTAAGAGACTAACAAAGTTGAATAACTGTTTATCAATTATTTGAAAGCACAGCTTCCTGAGCTTTGAAACTTAGCTGCCAAATGGAAAAAGCTCAAAAAGTTCCTCTAGAGGAAAAAAATAGAAGCAAAATAAAAAGGGAAACTACAGTCTGGAGGGAAAAGAATGTGAAAGAGTTCAAATGTTTATTATGTAAAGAAATAATGTAGATGATAAAAATTATAAACCCTAAAAGGAGAATAGACAGCGGCTTTGAACTAGTAATTTATCTGCCTGGTTGTCCATGCCAGGAATCTGGATTTTATTCCTGTTTCCTTCTTGCCCCTTCGTCCCAGCTCCTAACAAACCACCAAGACTTGGCATCCCTACTTCAGTTCTAATTCCTCTGTAAGGTCCCAGTTTATGCCCAAGAAAGGATCATAATCAAGCCAGACCACTGCCGTTCTTTTAGGAACAGACTCACCCAATGAAGCTTGATTCTCACCAAGAAAATGACACAGTTGTGAGTGTGGGTAGATCCTTTTTGGGTAGATCTTCTGTAGATACTTTTTGTCTTGTTAGGGCACACCAAGAGACGAAAAAATACTAGGCAGCACTCAGGCATTCTACTCTGCTTCCAAGTCCCAGATGGAATTTCTTCCACTATTTCAATCCTAAACCCCCACTCTGAGAACCATGTTATTCCCTTGGTGAGAACCAAACTCCATTGGATCAGGCTGTTCCCAATGGAATGGTGGTGGTCTGGCTCTCTCAGAATCCGTTCTTGGATCATAAATTGGGACCTTACAGTGACAGTTATAAAACTCTTAATTTGTTCAGGACATTGAGGGGCAAGTTTCTACCTCTTCTCAAATACAAAGATAGCAAGCCAGCATATCTCCAAGGAAAAAAAAAAGAGTTTGGATTCTTTAGGTGTTACTTTTTC